TTTAAAATGAAATATTAGCAACATGTTCTAAGTCGTTCTGTTTAAATAATTTTAGGATCCACTGTTGGCAACTTGATGACTTCTTTAACACTCGATGAATTCTGTTACCAAACAAGTGAAGTTAAGACTGAATAACAATAATTTCACAAAATGAATAATTATCAAACACAGAGCTCCTATGAATATCACAAGTTTACAATAAATATTTTTTTTCTTTTAATTCATATATTATGATGGTAAAATTCTAAAGTTGTGACAAACAAAAACTATTTAGAATGAATTCTTGGTTCAGAATTTTTATATAAGTTATGAAAGCTAAACTAAAATTATTTAAACAGAAAGACGAACAAAAACCGTTTAGAATGAATTCATGGTTCAAAATTTTTATACAAGTTTTGAAAACTAAATTGAACTTTCATGGTCATACCTGCTTTCGGAAATTTCAATTTTGAAGTAGGTTTGTAAACAATTATAGCAGGCACGGTGTGAGCATGAGCTTAACTCAGGGAAGCAGTGAATTGGCAGCTCCAGCAAGCAAAACGGACACTCTAGACGATCCACCTTTTCACCCTGGGAAGACTCTGGAAGCACCTCGCTATGTGCACTAGAGACAGAGTTACAATCCAACGTCAAAGGACTTGTCCCCAAAGCTTTTGCCACAGAGATTTTCCATTGAAAATTATACCATGTATGCTTTCTTGAGAAATGGAATAACGTTTCAATTCTTGCTTTTATTATATTTTCTTAACGAATTATACAGTCGGCTTTTCAAAAGATTTTAGTAATCAACTACACTTAAGGTAAAACAACTATTAAACTATTTATTCGAGACAAATTATACGTTTTTCGGTTAATAGAAAGTTGAAATATTATCAAGATTGGATATCTAAAATTCCTATTGATTTGAACATTACATATAAATAAAGCTAAAACAATTGCTTTTGAGCTATAAAATTTGTAAGACTCAAAGATGCAAGGAGCAGTAAGTTAAATAACCTGAATGAGGCAAATTACCTTTGAAATCTTTTTAGTCTTAATTAGAGCTGGGTTATTAATCAATTGCATTCAACTAATAAATTATTCTCACAAGAACTTGATAACTGGGAATACTAATTTTAATTAGGTGATCGTTTTCGTTAGTCTTAACACTAAATGATTAAGTTGAACAATCCTGAATTAATTGAAAATAATAATGAGAAATCATAGTGGCAATATTTCAATTACTTGTATAATTGTAACAACTGGAAACTAATTTTAATTAGTTGATTATTTTTATCATAATTTGGATAAATCGATTATTTCAAGTGACACTGACTGACTTAATCACCCAACTCTAGTCTTAATGCTATTCCGAGCAAAGATATTCTCAAACTGTTTGTGTGTATGTGCTTATTGATTTCTTTAATACTTTCACTGATCAACTTAATTAAGTGGTATAGAAAAGGGATAAATCAGTCCTGTAAAAAACTGGGTTTTGGTTTTGATACTGTTCGTGGTTACAGCACCGATGGCCCATTGTGTTTAGGTTTGTGCTTAATAACGAAGAAACATAATCAGCCAGTATAATTAAAAATGTTATTCATAAAGTATAAATATGTATTAATAAAAACACCCTAATCACAATTATTCAAGTACAAGCAATAATAATTAAGGGGAACATGGCTACTTGAAGTTAACCTTTCCAGGCCCAGAATGTTGAATGTGTCGCAAATGTAGAATAGTAAAAATATATTGGTTAGAGCTAGCATTTATAATACGTAGATGGTCTTGAAATATTGATGTTCTCTTAGAGATCAAATATCAAAAATAATCGTAATCCTTGCCCCTCTAAAAGATCTATTATTTAACCTTTTCGAGAAGGGTCACGAGTGAAAGGCCGTGTCATCTCGTTTGTTGAATCACATTCAAAATTTTATTGAACTACTATTTCTTGAATTCATGTCAGTAAGTTTGGTATCAAACTGTAGATTATGATTTAAGTTTTAGAACTATACATTATTCAATTTCTTAATTTAAAAGTAAATATAAAAAGACAGATAAACATGATTCTTGTGTGTCACATGGTATGTTGAATGCAGCGCTGGTTCAAATTAGTTGTAAAAATACTAAGTCTACAGTTTTGTACGAATTAGAAACTCAAATTAAAGATATTGACAAGCTAGAATATCACATAAGAAGGTCTTATCTTTTCTATTTGCTAAGATATTGCTCATGTAATAAATCAAACACAGTGGCACCCCACCCACCTCTTTCCATTTCTGGAAATGCTCCCTTATATGCACTTACTTATATATATGTCACGAATAACCAATCGGAAGCTCAGAATGTCCCCCTAGTGGTTTTTCTCAGCCTTTCTAATGTGGCTAGCACCATTTCTTTCTTTTGAACCAAGATTTCAATGAGGTAGGTTGTGTCTTTAGTCTGCTCGAAAATTTCATATTTTTTTAAGAGTAAAATACATCTTAGTTACTAAGTTAGATAAATTATAATGGAATTCTATGGTATTGATGTAGTAATTTATGATTTTTTAGTTATTCAAATGTATATATAAAACCTAAAAAATATATTTTGTTTCATATCCTCCACATGCAAAATTTTTAAAGGCTTAGCAAACTACGTCAAGCAGCAACCGAGCACAAAGATTGTAACTAGAAGTGATAATTGTTTGCTTTACTTCTTTATTTACTGTTATATGTTTTAGGAACAATATGTTTAAGAACTTATTTCAAAATAGCAATAATCTATATACATATATAATGTATAATAATTGAACTGTGACTGTATTTTACAAAATACT